CCTCTTTTCAGACTAGAATAGTAGAATTTTACTCAGACTTTTCTTCATTCAAATAAAAGGTTCAAACTTATTATTATATTTAGGAAGCACTAATTAATATCTACTACATAAATCTTATAGACTCCTGTCTGCTCAGAGACAGCTTAGATATAATCACAAAGTACTGTAGGGACATGCTTTCACTTGAATTGAATCTTGCGACTTTGCCGTGTTCCTTTTGACAGTTCATTATGACGTCAGAGGAGTGACGAGTGACGAGCCAGACTTTTTAATTAATGAATCTTTTAAAAGATGCAGTTTCCTACTTTGAAATATAAAAGCTCATAATTTTTTTTTATTTCTTACTAAGAAATGTTACTATAAGTAAAATTAATACAAAATGTAAATAATTATACTACTCAATAATTTAGTTTTCTCCTAGAAAAAGGATTAAGGATAAGAAATTCGAGATATCAGTAAGATTTTTTTACAGAGTATCAAAAAAACACGAGTCCTCCCATCAAAATGTAAATAAGCAATTTGCTTGGTTGAAGACTTGAGTAAAGTGAAAATTAATGTATAAGTCATTGATGGAAAAAAGAGAATAAATATTTAATACACACCCTGACTCAGTGGAAACGACCTTTTAATTTAGTTTAAGTGTATAATTTTTATTAATATCAGTTTCCAAGTGCAATGCGTAACTAAAACTAAAATAACATAATATATAGTTGTTAAAGTGTGATGATCGCTTTATATCTTACTAATATTATAAATGCGAATGTTTAGATGGATGGATGAATAAATGTTTGTTTGAATGTATCTCTGGAACGGCTCAACGGATCTTCATGAAATTTGGAAGATGTAGTCCGGAAGAACACATAGGCTACTAAGTTTTTTTTTAATTCCGCGCAGACGAAGTTGCGAGCGTCAGCTACTTGATGTATAAAGTTACCAACAAACTCCGATAGTTACTAATTTTCGTTATTTAAATGAAAATTATGATCGTAATTTTATTGAAACGTAATATTGAAAAGAACAAATCTTTTACTATTGACAATTCATATAAAAGTACTTACTGGATATTAATTTAGGACAAATTGGAGCAAAACTTCTTACCATTGAGAATTACGTTACTGCTAAACTAATTGGCGCCGGACTTGTCTCGCTTACAAACTTAGTTAAACTTTCTTACTTAATGCCTTTTGAGTTATTTACAATGTATTATGTATTCATAGAAGTTACATTATAATTATATATATATTATACTAAATATTTACTTCATAAAGTAGATGATAAATTCAATCGAATTAAACTCGATAAATATTAACGTTCCACGCTTTGCAATCGACTTTTCTTAATTATGCAGCTTATAAAGTAGCCAGTCATTATTTTATAAATAAAATAATTTAGAAGCTATTGGACAGAGATTACGGACCAATAGTACTGCATAACGTATCTATTTTTTTACCATTTAATATTTATGATTGATTTAATTTTATTTTATCTTATATCTTTAAATGAGCAATTCTTGTATAGATATATATATATCTCGGATCGGTTCCAACGATTTTCATAAAATTTTGTATAAAGGGGGTTTCGGTGGCGATAAATCAATCTAGCTAGGAATAATTTTTAGAAAATGTCATTTTATTTGTGTTTTATCGATAATCAACTTAAACATAAAGTTAAATTTTTCTATCGGTAAGATCGAAAAATATTATTCATATTTCATCATTTTATTAGTAATTCGTACTTAAATATTATATAATTTCCAAAAAACACAATTTAAAAAAGAAAAAAAATACCGAGCAAAGCTCGGTCATCCAGGTACTAAAAATAATTTGTCGTCATCGACTAGTTTAAGATTAATCGAAAATCATTCTTTAGGTTGAATTTTATTTATTTTCAAAGCGTTAAATAAGATTAAATTACATATTATTATTATTATTTTGTAAACTAGAAATAAATACATTTCAATGATACAATATTCTTTGGTAGTTCGTAGCAAAAAGGTTTTACTAATCCTGTAAATAACGACCAGTATACCTCGCTGCTGTTATCTGCGTCATGAGGATTAAATCCTTGTGATTAATTGTTCTCCGCTTAGATTAATTGGATAGAAATAAAATAGCGAGATATCTCGCAGACAAACTGCTATTAATTATAACTTGAGTATAATTTTGTAATGTTGTTATTTGCGCTATTAATTATTTTATTTCTGAGTTTTTTTTTTATATTAGAGACGCTTGAAATAACATACGTTTATTTTGTTAGAAGAATAATTAAATGTTGGTATATTAATTCTAACCGTTATATTCCACTGCCGTAAAACTTGTTTTAAATAATTATATTGCCTAGTTTTACTATCTATGTTTTATAATAGAATAAAGGGAGTAATGTTTATGCCAGTGTTTCAACAGTGGCAACCCACTTTAAAATCAGACATTTATACGTGTTAAAATAAAATTTCAAAGTACCTACAACCAATAAATTAGGGAAAAGCATTTGACATGCTATGTATCATAGTAATTTCAGTTTGTTTTTTCTTTACAATATTCTCTTATGAGATATAAAGATAAAGACTGAGCCATGATTTCCTCGGGGAATTTTTCAGTGTAATTTTTACCTTGCAGTCTTTGTAAGGTAACGAAAATGGAAGCCGTGTTGTTTAAGATAACAAAGGTAAAAACATGTTTGATATTAATAAAAATTAATTTAATCTTTAGAAAAAAATACCTAGAATTTTAAGTTTGGCGCTTTATCTTTATATTATTATTTCGATTTTGTTGTAGACTTTATTACTACCATTTGATAATGTTTAGCAGTGGATTTATAGATTACAAAATGTCGCCCGCAGTGGCAGCATGGATTAAATTGGTATTTTAAATTTAATACTTGTTCTAGTAATTGCCATGAATTTCACAAATATTCATTTAAATTCAATAATACTCCAATTTGTAGTGGTCGTGTTACGATCTCTCGAATGCATTAACACTGAATGACGATTGGTAATCCGATTAGCATACACGCATTCGGAAATTCCAATACTTTGGAGCACTCTCTATCTATTAGTTCAACGGAATTTCTATTGGAATTGGAAGTACTGCTACTCGTGCACAATATCACCGTAATTTACAAGAAAATTAAGCTTTTTTTTTAACCACATGTTCCCAATAATCTTGACCAAAAACATATTTTCTTTTGTTTTGTTTTTAAGATATGACAACGTGTTTATTCCTCTATTTTCACTGGCTTATTTTTGGCTGGAAATTTTTTAAAGTTGAGAGTTAAAATGAGCTTAGCATCTCGAATATGCAATGTTATACGCATTTATCAACCGTTTTTCATATTTCTGCATACATTACAGCGCTGGAACTATATTTCAAAAACATTGCTTTCGAAAAATTATTTATACCCTTTCGAGTATATCTAAAATACAGAGTTTTCACTGTGGAAGTAGTAATAGGAATGAAAAAAAGTGGAAATTAAAATGTTCCATTAGAATCCTCACGGATGTAAAGTAATAAAATGCTGCAGCGTATTTGCAAAGTAGTTTTAAAACAGTATTACATATTCATTCCCGGTCGTGAATGGGGCATTCAAATTTTTTTACATTCATGCTCGGACCGATAAAGGTCCTTCGGATGAAAACAATGGACTTTTTGATAGTAATGGTTTTGATGAATGGAAAACGCGCTTTTAGCTGAATATAAAACAATGGAGTGCGGCTTGCAAGTGCGGTATTTCATGCGCAACGAAAAAAAAGAAATGGCCAGACGTCTTTTAAGTGTAATTTTTTTAATTGTAACATCAATCTTTTTACTCTTTTAGTTATTTAACTCATGGACAAATTGATTTCTGATGAATTGTGCTAAACAGAAATTAAAATATATTTTGAAAATTGTACTAGAAAGGTCGCGCTAAGGAAATTCGTAAAATTAGCATAATTAACCTTTTCGCAGCCAAAGGAATAGCCTTAACATGAGATCTGTGGTAATGTCAAGGTTACCGGTTCTAAAAGCTATTTCTTTCAGACCATACTAAAGTGTTATAATACTTACAGTTGCTCCGCTTACCAATTGGTGCTATGAAGTCTCGGATGCCATCAGCCGTTGAATATGTACCAAATCAAATCTACAAGCATTTGTTATTAAAATGGAAGTCGGGATTCGAATGTTCGTGTACACGTTTCTTTCTTTTTCAGGATATTTCTATTTATCGTGATTAATACAAGACACTTATCTGTAGGCACCTCGTTCATAAAATATAATTTTCAAATATACAAGCCTCAAACAGTGCTTCTGGGAAGAATACAATCCGATGGTTCTAGTAGTCACAACTTTTAAGTATAATACAAGTGAAGAAAAAAAACATTACTCAGGATTTATACAGTTCTGTGAAAGAACTTAACCATTACTTAAATCATCCCTATTATTTCATGTATCATATATTTATCGTATTTAAAAGGTCTTGATGAGTAGCTGGTGCTCGAAAAATCTATATAATAGTATAAATTCCTGCTATTATTTTATCAATCCTTTTATTTAATTCATCCTCATTCCTAATACCCTATTTTTACCATAAAATGTCTTCATATATCTAAATTATACTTCTAAGTAAGGAATTGGCTGTAAAATAAACCAAATTAAACAAATATAGGATTATATTCAGTGAAACATTCAAATCCAACATAGCGGACGTTCGGAACACGTTCCGAGCGTCAGCGCAAGCTGTGTACACTCGCCTTTAGGGCCACTACACACGATTCCGAAGGTAAATCAACATCGTACAATAATCCCATATGTATATAGTTATTATTTTCAGCAATTATTCTATACCACTAATTCTCTAAATCCGTCTCGAAGTACCTCAAACCGTGTTAATGAAAACTGCGTAACCGACACACATTGTTAAATTAAAAAGCCAAAAAAAAAATATTTTGATCAACTGAAAATATCATCTATCATACAAAGGCGTTACATCATACACAGCGTATTTCTTTTGCTGCGAGAAAAAAGTTTTTTTTTTAAATAAAATAACACTATATTAAAATGTCTAGTCTAGGGCATCTTTACGAAAACTTAGTGTATTTTTTTTCTTAATTTATTACATCATATATATACATAATTTCGACATAATTAGTTTTATTAACGTAACATTTGTGGCAGGTCAAATAGAAAACATAAGTGGTTCACAAATTCGTTTACAGGCCGGGCTATGATAGTGAAGACTAAGTATGAAGTATTACCAATAAAATAAAAAATACACGTGCTATGTGCTAAAGCGTATACAATAGAATAGTTCCAAATAATTTATCAATTTTCTTTGTCATCTTATATACATCAAAAGTTTGGCAATTCGACAAAAATAAAACATCTATACAATAGTTAATATTACAACGCAATATACTTTTATAACATGAAATGGCTAAAGAAAGCTTATATTTTTCATTATATTTATTAATATTAAATGGCCATAAGCATTAAATATAAGTTTAAAAAGAAATCAAAGAATTAAACAATATTTTAAACAGGGATTTTGGGCTCAGAAACTCACGGTAAAACATTCATATAAGGGGTAACACAAAGCGACTACACGTCACCACTACAAATATTTGCAAGACTTCTTTAGTAAAAAGTCTTTATATTATTTAATCTGTATGTTTTTTTCTTCAACACAGGCCATTAAGTGGGATAAGAGTTTGTCTGTACTCTCAAAGTTGATAGTACAGGAAGCATTGATTATAAAAATGTAAGGACTCGTCTGTACACTAACATTATTAGGCTCAATTCAAATCAGCTAGCTAAAGGAAGGAACCAAATCAGGAACTACAAGTAAAAAACAATCCCATGCAAGACATATACATCGTGTTCACAAATTAAACCAAAAATATACATACTCGTTTTATTTAATAAGACAGGAAAACATTTTAATCTTAGCAACTGCTGTATTATGTATGATCGAAACTTTATGAATTTGAATTACAAAATGAATAGAAATTTTCAAATCATTCGAACATTCTAGATTCCAACAATAAACTGACCCGACTTCCACAATTGAAATTAATTTTATGACACTCTTTATTCATTAAATAAAACAAACATTGTTTTTTAAGTGAAAAAATGCAAACGATTACTAAAAATCAATAGAGGTATTTCAACACTTTTTTTACTTTTAATACAATATTAATGTTTAATTTTGCCGAATCACCAAAAATAAATCTAACAGTTGGCACAGTATGACGTCTTAACTTCATACCTCACCAACCGAGACAAATAAGATCACTTTAGTTATTTTCAAATCCGTATAACGATCGCTTTTAGTTTCATTTATTTAAATCGGTAGGCACTTTAAGCACCTTTCTGCATAATTATATTTAAAATATTAAACGAAAAATTCTCCGGTAAACACAAGCCTTACTATCAAAAACATTGAGTATTTATATAATTGAAACTAAACGCGATTTACTTCAATCGTTTGATTGCGTTGATAAAAGTATACATTTAAGGTTAAAAGAAAAACAAGATTTAAATACTCAAGTCGAAAAAAAAAACAAAATTTACAGAAATATATTATTGCAACGCAAACACAAAGCGACTGTTACTGTGAAATAAATAATAAAAACTAGAGGAAATGAATATTGACTGCTGCATTGTGTCGACAAAGTATTGCGTATGAATGTGGCGAAGGGAGTAGCGAAGGGAGTCGACTCGGCGTTGTACATAACGTGTTAGTAAGGCTATATAATTCTATGTCGCGCGACAGCTATCGAGTATCGCCAGTCGCTGGGTGCCGAGTGCGTGCCTCGCGTGTGCCGCGCCGCGCGTGTGCCGCGTGTGCCGCGCGTGTCACTCGCGTGTGCCGCGCGGCAGGGCCCTCACCACTCAGTTGTATATCTTGATCGCCTTCTCCAGGTAGTTGGCGCGGGAACGTTTCGGCGTCTTGTTGATGTGCTCCAGCCCCAGCCAAGGCCGCCCCGTCGCGTCTGGAAGCGACATATCTTCAATTAATATTAGCACGCAGTCCAAAGAGGATTGGATGCGATATAAACCAACAATTAATCAAGTACGGGTCTATTGTTTATGTATTTGGTACTTACTTGCATTACTGCTCGGCCTAAAGTCGAATACGTTGATTGTCACTCCTTCGCTTATGTAAATAGGTCTGCCATTTGTCACTATAGCAAAATTGTACTGAAAATAGAAAAAATATTGTTAAATTATTATTACACACTTTACTGAAAAGACCCATATATATAATATTTTTCTCTCTACGGCCACTTCTAAAAACATCGATAAGTTTGGTAAGCTTACCTTTTCCCACTCCTTGTCGGGTATGTCAAGCTTCTTCTGGAGGCGATCCTTGACAGCCTGGAAGGGCTCGAGGTGCTTAACGCGCGTGTAGAATGGCACGCCGAACGTCGCGTACACCTGCTTGTAGAAATGCGCGCATGGCACCAGCACCTCGTCCTCCTGCACGTCAAAACACATTACCAACTAAAACTAGTACTAACAACAAACAAGTACTATTAACTTACTATGATAATGTCCATATAAAACAAACAAGTTACCTGTAGATGCAACTCGTCCTTGGGTATCTCCTCTATTCTGTAGAGTCTGGGCGGCGAGATGGTCACCTGGTCCAGCGTCAGCTCGGGGTCGGGACCCGGCAGAACTTTGTGACACGACACTTCCACGATCCGCAGTCTGAAATAAAAACACTTCGAATTAGGCTCATAAGTTAAAATAAATATTTTTATTTACTGCGATTAAAAAAAACATATAAGAATTTTTTGGCTTAAATCTGTACTTTACTAGTGATTCTAAAAATATCACAACGCGTATATAATTATTTGAAAGGTACTTTAAACGTAGTTTTTCAGTCACACACCTGCCAGAGCCATCTGGTGACATTTCCACAACCTTGGCGGCCTCCTCTAAGATGTCCGCCACCTTACCACCCTTGTTGGGATATAAAATTAATTCTTTATCTTCTTTGTAGTTTGGCCCAACCTGTGAAACAAGAGTTAAAAATTATATAGCAAAAACAAAATAAACAATGACAAAAATTTTATGCGTATATTTCGAATTTAGTATGTAAGGAATAAACTCAACTTCAACTCAAAAACTACTGAACTTCAAAAGTTCGCTTCCCATAAGAAAGCTATACATCATCACCGACTAAAATATGCTATGTTTACTATTACTTTTTTTATTCCGACAGACGAATTCGGAGGCATAAGATAGTCACAAATTGAAAAAAGTTTTAAAACTTACCCACAAACATTTGAACTGCTTCTTATTATCCAATTCATTAACTTTGATAGATAAAATCTGATAAAACAATTTTTTAGGGCACTTTGGTTTACAATAGACAAGCAAGTCCTTCAGTATTCCGTCGTACGAATACCTGAGCGGTGGTCCAGGAGTATCTTTGTAGCTGCAACAGGAGACACAACTACTCAAGATTATAGATACGTGCACGCCCCGGGCTGTGCCTTCAGCCCTACGGGAATATTATGAATTATGTGAAACTATCTACAATACTATATAATATTGTAGATACTTATATAATACAATTATATTAGTTATATATATAACTATCTACAATTATATAATTATGATTACTATAGTATAATTTAATCTTCGTGATATTTGATTACTTCAAATAAATGATATTCTGAATCGAAAGCCTTGAATAGTAATTTGAACGGCGATAGTGAAAATTAAATTGTTGAGCTTCTTTGTCACCAATACTACGGAAGAACTTAACAATAGCAAACTTACTAAATCCAACAATACCCTAAATTACAAGAATAGAGCTACAGTAATAATATAATATTTACAATAAGCCGGACTCAGCCATTATTGATTACTTTCACTCGATTATAAACAATTATTATTGGACAGTTTGCAACAATCTATATTTTTTAACATCTAGTTGATTGTGATAATGATGTGAAGTAAAGTTGTTACTTTATACAGGATAAGCAACTTACTTCTGGCATTTAAAGAACTGTATTAAGTATGGGTCGACGTTGAGGCGGTGTCCGACTGCGCGCGCCATCTGATCGTATCGCATCTGCATAGACAGCTCCATGGTGAACCTGACATTGACAAAATTTCAAAATTAAAACAATACTAACTTAAAATATTTTAGATTAATGTTGAAATGGCATAGCTCATGAAATCCAACCATTAATTCCATGTCCTTAAGGCAGGCGAAGGGCTTGGGGTAGGCGAGTTTCCACTTTCGAAACATCAGCACCAAAGACATATTTCTATCTTTGTTGTTTAAAACGTTTTGTTATATATAAAAAGGTGGAAAAGGAACAAGTGGCCGCTGCCCATACGCATGCGAAATTGCAGATGCGTTATCTACCTTTAGTTGACGGAGGAAACGCGCAAAAAGAATATTTCCCCTCCCTATGCGTCAAGTTCACTTCTCCTTCTCATCCTTTCCTTATAAGAAACATGTGTAAAGGGAAAGAGGACTGCAATACGGCGTCAGCACGCACTCAATATTTGATTTGACTGACCCGGGATCGTTGGGCATCGTCTTGTCGATGAACTGCACCTCGACCTTGTAGAAGATGTACTTGAAGTAGTCCTGGCAGGTGGGCAGCTCGAGCTCTTCGTGCCGGTGGTCGGCGCGCTCGAACACGATGATGTCGCCGTCCATCAGTTCGTCCAATACCTGGCCGCGTGCACACGACTCAACCCGAGCGGAACACCACACAGGGGTCGACCGCAGGGGGCGAGCCCGGGGGGGGTTAACACGCTCACACATAGTCACAAACATTGCAATCATTTGCGCACAACCGTTATAGACAATGATGAAGATGATCAGTCTCCACTATAAAAATTACTTAGTAATTTAGTAATAGTAATACTGCTAAATATCATATTGGTAATTAATGAAAATGCATTAATACCTGAAATAACTAAACTACCACTTAATGAGACTTGGTAATATTTTAGCTATAAGCTAGTGATGTAAAGCTATAAGCATACATACACCAAAAATAACATTTTTTTCTTTAGTTAATGTGAAAAATTAAAGTGCCTGATTTCCACAAACTATCTCACAAATGAAAAACTTAAAAACGTAAATCTACCATACCTGTTTTATACCAGTAAACTATATAATAAACATTAGTACTGTCCAAAACAATATTAGTAAATATAAACTATTGAAAATTTTCTATTTCAATGAAAGGATGAAAACATATCTTTCATAACCAAACATTTTATCCTCAAAGTCTTGGGTTCAATCTAGCTTTATATATTTTTAGCATTTATTCTAATAATTAATAACTTTGCTGAATTTATAAATCTATAAGACCTCATTTGTAGATTTAGCAGAGTTTCCGCTTCAAAACAATGTCATTTCATTCAATTCAGTTCAGTTCAATTCAGTGGTTTAACCATAATCATCACATCATTATCATTTTCAAGTCGAATATATGACTTATAATATAAAGTAAGATTGCCTGAGTAAAACTGATAAATAATACCTTTTCAAGAGGATCATTGTAGTTGTTCAGCTTCTCCACAAAGTCTGGCTTGATCTCTTCGTAAAGGACGAGAGGCGTGTCGGGCGGGAAACCTTTAACAAACATCATCTTTAGGTTATGGAATTAAGAACCTTAATAAAGAAACATAAAACACAAATCGGAAAAATTATTAGCTAAACATGTTCTCAATAGAATAATTATTAACTTGATTACAAACTTAGCTCTACTCTACCTATCTATAAGAACAAACGAAGTAAGAAACATCTTAAAGAGGACCAAAATAACTAAGAAACTGAACGACCTTGATCTTGAAAACCGCACAGAATTAATGAAAGAGAGAGGGCTAAATATAAAAGTTGAATCATACCTGCACGTTTATTGAGTATTGGTATGAGATCAGCGGGCTTGCTGGCAATCGAGAGGTAATGATGTCCGCAGTAGTGGATGCGCTTCTGCTTCGGGTCGTAGTACTTGAAGAACAGGACCACGTCGTTCTCCTTGTCGAATGGCGGCAACGAACTGAAGCCCGAGTCGGGAGGAAGCATCTCCAGGAATATGTTCCACGGGTTCATGTTCTCAGACACATCGGATACTGTCTTCATTTGATCGTTCACGATGTCCAAGCAAGTCGGTCTGCATGTCTATTGATAAAATATATTGATAATTAAACCAATAAAAAATTATTAAATCTCATATTTCCAGTAGTCATATGTCAGAAGATAGGCATAGAGTAGAAGTAATTCCGTGTTTCGTCTGATAAGTGTGCGTTCCGGAGGCTTAATAGTCCTCTTTGCTTTCTACCCGGAATTGATGGGGGTTAGCGCATAGAAAGGGGAAATAATATATTTCTGTGGGTCCATTAAAGGTAGGCAACGCATCTGCAATTGCATACACCTAAAGGCCGTAGTTGATTCGCCCTTTTGGCGAATTCAGTAGACGGTTTAAAATATTTAAAAAAATGTGCAAACCTGATTGGAACGCGCGCTGAAGGGCCAGGGACGTATATGCTTGAGTGGATATCTGAAGCTCTCTGCGAGCATGTCCATCAGCTCTGCAACGGTGGCCTGCTTGCGCACGCGGAACACGCGGCAGTGTGCGCGCTCCGGGTCATAAAGGTCGTTGCCTTGGTAACCGTCGAAAGCCTCCTCCAGAACCACGTTCACGTTCATATACAGGTGGGCTTCGTTGCGCTCTTTGCGACGTATCTGTGGACATACGATGCAGTTTTATTGCTTTTTCTAGTTTTTTAGCAATAAAAAGTTATTGAGTTATAAGTAGTTTTTAATTATTTATTTTTTTCGGAAAAAATTACTCACGGTTTCAATTCTCTTCTCTTCAGCCAACCTCTCACTGAGTTCTGTAGGTATGTCAGCTTGAGTAACTTCTTGCAACACAGTCTTTAATTGTGAATCCCTGCAAAAATATTAGTCAGCAAAATTTTATTACTTTTATGACAGCTCTAATTATACGTCACGTCTTAAAACTTACAAGTATTTACAAATAATTATACATATAAGTTTGTACACTAACCGTATATAGACCAACATGTATGCGTTGGTGCAGTGGCGCACGGTGAGCGTCATGTCCTCGTCGTGGCCGCCATAGTTGTACTCGATGGCCTCCTGCTTCGTGCAGCGCGACACCACGTCGTCATCGAACTTGCACCACTGACACACAACATAAACTAAGTCAAACACCAAAACTCAAGATTACAATGCTTCAACAATAGTTAACAAAATCAATCCCGACTGTCAAACCCTATGACAATCTTTGGAAGAACGCGAATCGAATGACACCTCTTTCATCAAAGAGGTCATAATGGAATTGATATAAATTAAACTTACTACTGCCAAAATTGAAGAAAAAGTGTCTCCATAGACAATAGAAGTTAGATTAGAATTGATCAATGATTACTAACTCCTTATGTACTTATCTATGTAAATGTACCTTGCCATCGCCCTTGGGGTTGATAAAAACGACATAATGTCCGCCATGGTTGTCACCAGAGTGCACGAGCACCGCGTGCAGCGTGTAGTCCGCCGGCGTCTCCGGCTTCTCTTGTAGGTACGCGTCCAAATTTATATGTTCGTAGAACTCGAACCTATAACAGATTATAATTTCAATATATTTTAAAGTAACTGCTGCCAATAAATATCACATTTCATAGAGATTCGTTGATATCCATCCATCTAAACATTCGCATTTATAATATTAATAAGAAGATATGATGACACATATCGCTATTTCTGTTTCTTCAAAGAGATTGAGAGGGATAGCGATGGTTTTGTCTCTAATGTTTTGATGTAGAAGTCTATAAAAATGCCAAAATAAACACTAACACACTAAACAATTGTAGTAATACTTGCCTGTCATTAAACTTGACCGAGCTATCAGTAATGGGATCATACTGGAACCTCATGAGGTGTAAATGCAGTACCGGTGGGAATGAGGCAAATATCACACCCTTCTCCGCCTCTTGAAGGCCATGTTCACCCGCGTCATATTTGTTCTCACCATCCAATGTCTCCGTACTGATGTAGTCATTGAACGACTCATCAACTATAAATATGACAAATAATTTAGCATAAGGTTGTTCAAAAAATTAATATAACGCTCGAAAGAAATCGATAAATTACGCTAAGGGTAAATACTAGTATTTAAAAGCGAAAAATGGTTCTCCTCAAAAATTGCATATTTCGGTTACTGCTATAATATTTTAGCCCCTTAATTATGTATATATATACTTACTATTTTTCTTCCCCTTAATATTCAATTGTATATCGTAGAAAGTCTCCACGCGAGTGCTTGATACATTGACATTCTTGCATTTGATATATGAAGTCATTTTGCCTTCAAACAGACGAGGTACAGTACCTTCCACACAAGTGCCTTTCATTTTACTCTCCAGTTTATCTAGAAGTACCTTAAATAACATAAAAGTTTGACTTACAATCAATATTAAATTAAGTTTTATTTCAATATGACACGCCCGTACAATATATAATATATATATATATATTTTAATAGGGAAACTACATATTTTTCATTAATAGTCAAATACCAAAATTTCCCGGTAAATCGTTTCTATTATTAATTATTTTAACAATATTGCTATTAATTTAATTTAGGCATAGGATTGTGATGAAATATGAAGGCATATGAAAATGTCATTTTGTGCTTACCCTCAAAAACTCCTGCACATCATGCTGCATGAAAGAATCAAGTGTTTCCCAGCCAAAGCTCTTCGTCAACTTCTTTGTTCCTACGGGTTTATCCGAAAATTGTAACTCGTAAAACACTCTTTGTAGTGCCAAAGCAACAGATCTGAAAAAACATTCACTTTTTTAATACTCATTTAATTTTATCAAGTTTACAAATTGTTTCTTATTTATACTTTATCATTATATAAATATAATCAAGGGTTTTTACTGCCAACAGATCATACAAAAATAAAAGAAATGTGATCCTTTTCTTTGAAAAAATTACTAAAAAAACTTTTTTTTTGAATGGATGGCGGCAGTGGAAGTTCAATCTAAAACTGAGAGTTGGAGTCATTACCTTGTACTATCGTCAGATTCAGTTGGCATTTTATACACAGCCTTACGCAACTGATTTGTGAAATAAAGAGTTTGAAGCAAAGAGTTCATATAACATGTTGCGCCTTGATTCTTCAAACCTACAAAAAACAAACAATTATAAGCAAAACATTTTGTACAAAATAATCTCATCTATCATAAAATGTAATAACTTATATAAAATTTAACCAACCTTCATATTTGTTTACTAATTTGAACCTAGTAATTTACCATACAATTTGTTTTTTTTTTAAATATGACATTAACTTTTGTTCAATGATAATCACTCTTTATGCTATGTCTATGATTAATTACAGTCTTATCTATTGCACAATGGATTGTAAAACCTTTTTTCCAATTTAATACAAATTTGCAAATGTACAAATGTTTCTATATAACAATCAAATTAGGCCTGAATTAATACTCAATTTTTATTTAATTTTTACCCTCACATCATCCTAGAGGAAGCAACATAAATCACTTACCAACATATCCAGTATGCTTCTTAGAATCCCAGGACACACCATGCGGGGCTTCCGCAGTGACATGCACTTCAAGAGTAATTGAGTCATCCTTGATATATCCCTTCTCTGGGTCCAATACATCATTCCATGACATGAAGTGAGAGAAACCCCAATCATTCTCCTTACTGTAAAAATATTAATGAGTTAACCTCATTTTATTTTTATTAACTACAAATAACATCGTTTAATGGCAACAAACTAGAAGAAAACTCAAAGTTAACTTTTGACTAACTTGGACTAACTTTAAAGTATTTTATTATACAAAATACTTCAAGCCATAGAAAGTGTGTTACAAAGCCATTTACTACACACATTTATTTAATATTCAAGAAATTGTTGCCTTAAGGAATGAATAAGAAATGAAAATAATAAAATCAGTCGAGTGTTAAACAAAATTTAAAAGCAAATTATTAAGAAAGAATTAAAAATATATCAATAACATTACCACAGAAAAATGTCTATAATTAAAATACAAACCTGTAAAACAGATGTTGAATTTTTCTGTAAAACGGTTCAGTGTCCGGTTTCTGAGAAATAAGTCTCAGTTCAGCCATAGCATAGCAGGACCAGCTCGACGACTCACTCTCTCCGTTACATTGAAGGAAGAAACCCAATGATTTCTGCTGTTGTCGATCAGGTGATGGCGCTTGCCGTGGCATCACCATGATCTTCCATGGCAAATTGCGAACGTAGCATGGTGGTGAGAGAACAGAGTCCTTAAGGCTCCTCAAGTTTTGTACTGTGAAACGGAACGTCGCCTCCGATCTAGCCTCATCATCCTCCATTTCAGCATCAAGGCCAGTCAACTAAAGCAAGCAGATACAAAAATCAATCTATGTTGAATATTTTGTATATTTATTGAAGTGCTACATAATAATACAGAAGAAACCACTTAATGTGAATGCAATTAATACAACATATTGCTTATCTGCCTCATAAACAATACAAAATTGATTTATAGACTAAGAATAATTACTGTTTTCCAACAATATTCTGATTATATAGAAAGATTGTTTAAAGCAATACAAAACGTTTATAAATCATGCAAATGGATGGATGGATGGATCAATGTTTGAAGATATCTCCAGAATGGTTAAACAGATCTCAATGAAATTTGGCATACATATAGATATAAGGATGGATAGACTACTTACGCGCGGCCGGAGTCGCGGGTGACAGCTAGTTATTTATGTATAGATAATTTAATGTGGAGAAGTGCATTAAACTATTTTAAATCAAAAAAATTGACCAGTAGACTCGGCTAGAAATAATAAATAGTCTATCCTTGTTTTATTACCTCATAGCAAGGTTAGATATATATAGAAGCCAACTTTCAACCTAAGCTTATTTGTAACAAGGTAATTTCCAAAGATCTTATTTATAATCTAAATACTTTAAAAGTATTGTAGAAAATTATGAATATGTATCAACATTTAATTACCACTCAATCACTATTGATAAAATGAAAATATTAGCACTTATTAACATTCGTAACCTAAATACACAATCATTGCAAACATTTTACTTGTATTTAACATATTAATTGAGTAATTCAAGTTAAACAGTACACATCACATAAAACACTGACGGACTGGTCATGTGAACAGGTGGTTGTAAATCAATAAACACTTTATCCAATTGTAGCCAGTCTATAAATAGATATGATGAACATCCACAAGTTATTTGTGACATTACCAACAAAACATGTTGTACCATTTTTATGAAGAATTTTAAAAAGCTCTAAAATGAGATTATATTGTTCCAATTAAATAAAAAGGTAAGTCTATTTTATAATAATCTCTTAAACCGATAATATTTAAAGTTAAATAAAAATATGACAAAAAATTGCTGGATTCTGTGTTAATAGAACTTTATGTCCTTCTAGTATCAGGAGATAAGATATAACTAGACAGAGAAAAAGATTTTGACTCATTTGTAATCTTCAAACCATTTTATTACAATTGTTAATAATTCTGAATACACAATATTACTTTTTTTTATCAATCAAAAATACTAGGTACGTTTGTAAATTACATATTTTGTTAAACTGGTTTGTAAATGGCAGTGGAATAGTGTATAATGTCATAATATAACTTTTATTTAAATGTAAAACATATTTAACACACAAACTGCAGAAATATATATTCTACTTCATGACTATGGTCACAAGATTATTGAAACTGCAAGTTTGGATCGCCAAAACCACAGACACATATTGTCATCCCTCTCATTGTGTTTTAATAGACAGAGACAACAAATGTTTTTACAGGTGTTCAGAGAAAACCCATATAAGATTGTTATCTTCAAAATGAAATGCTATTGTTACTGGCACCAATGTTAGTAATCAAATAATAAAGAAACAAAAGTATAATATGAAAAAAGTAATTAAATTACCGGAAACTCTGCAGCTGCAGTCTCAGGGTTCTTAATCACTTCCCCCATCACTACTTCACCGTTAGAATCCTTAACAAACTCTTCATCCCAGATCTTCTCGGTAGCCGTTTCTACAGTCTCCACTGAAATAATAAACATGTCATATATTCTCATGATGAAGGAAAATTACGTGATGTAGACTACACATATTTGTGAAAAAATTCAAAGATGTATGAAGTTAACTAATCCTTTCATCTATCCTATCATCATCATAATCATATTATCATCATTCACCAACTAATCAATTAACATGGACCAGCTTGGAAGCATAGTATTGTGCTGACCCAGTGTGATTAAGTCTTAATTAAATCTAATTTATCTTAGGTTCCAGCGCCAAGATGTATAAAAGCTAACAATATGTAGCTTGCCTATCTGCTTGTTTTTTTAATCCTACCACATTCTGTAGACATTCAAATCATCATCAGCTCACTAGACGTCCCCACCGAGGGGCTCGGAGCCTATTCTGAGTTAAGGGTGAATAGGCCATAGTCAACTCTAACTTAAAATAGAGATTCAAATATAAGCACTTTTAATATAACCATTTGATAATTATCTAACAAAGATTTAGGTATCTGCTAACACTGACACTCACTTATGCAGCAAACATTTTCTTCATCTTTCTTTCCTCCTTCCTAATATATTAAATAGCTTTTTTTATGAAGGTAGTAATTTGAAAGCTAAACTTAATTCAATTTTGGAACATTTATGTATCACATTTTCTAAAGAACTAAGTTGAATTCATTTAAATAATAATTCTGTAATGCAAATAAAGAAAAGGCCTCACTTGGTAACAGAATATGTCTATTGTTTTTATGACATTCATTTTGAAAATTTGTGACATGTGATATTGAAAATACTTTTCATTGTGACAGCCAGTTTGTTTTAGACTTGTTTATGGTACAAGATAACAAAAAAGTTTCTATACATTATACAAACATTATCAGATTTCACACATAAATGTTACACATAAATTATAATAAGTATATAATATTAATTGCTAATTAACTGCTAATTATTCCAAACAGTTTGTTTTGTTGACATTTGAAATCCTCAGGATCAACCGAATATGTAATTAAATGTTATTTTATAAAAACTAAATCATTAAAAGTTGATTGACAGAAAACAAGAAATGTTTGATACACTCAATGTTTGAAACTACTCAGTGACATTTAAACAGTCATATGATTTTCTGAAATGCAAAATTTTCTGTCACTACATAAACAATCACAATTAGATTTAAATATGGACAAGTTTTACATGGCCAACTAAAACAAAGCAATCTATATATAGATTTTACATACTTTGACGACTTCATAACAAAGAAACTCCACAAGATTAGGTGTTATTATCAGAAAATAAGATATTATATACAATGAGATAATCAAATCCATCAGGTTTTAATATTTTTGAAGTGAATGCAGCAAGCAGAATGTAAAATCGTATTAAGTAAAATGGTAAAATGGAGGTTAAGAGTATAGAAAATTTGCGAAACAAACACAAAAAATGCTAAGTAACTATGTATGTATCATTGATTATTTGCAAAAGACTATTGGACTTAAACAATAAATTGCTAAGATAATTCGTTTTAAGTAAAATATTTAAAAATGAATATTTGCTAACCTTCTTGTGTCTCCATTGCCTCAACCTGATTAACATTGGAGTCCTGCTGCGGCCTGTCCGGGGCAGGCGTGTGGTTCATGTTAGCCGGGCGCGCCACCGGGGACTGTCGCCCACAACTTTTAGAAATTTCCTGGACAATTTGTACCCACCATAAATAATTTCGTAACACATTACCTAATTATAAAAGTTCCCATAGCCCATTTCTTGCACTGCACATACCTTTAACGCCAGAGGATCACTCCCTCTACACCTGCTAAATAGTCGCTGAACAAACTTCAACGAACCTTTCTCATCGACTCGGATGCCTTGTGAAGTCGGGATTTTGATTTTTTTCGAAGACAAGGTGTTAATTTTACAAGAGTGTTTACTAGCGGCGCGGCCGATGTCTGCAATTTTCAATACAAGGGTCCGAGAATAGTGTACGCTAATAGCACATTCTTTATCTAATAACCATTGCCAGATTTACTTAATCACGGTGTCATAAGATAGTGTACAAAATTTCACTTCAGTATCCGGTTGAAAAAGTATTTTCACGAAAATAAACAAAATGGTGGATGTCTAATTTAATTTCTGGCTTCAAATGTGTGGCCCGGTTTGATCGACGAATGCACCATTTTATCATTCTCTCACATTCACCGTAGGGAGGTACCAAAATGCTATTTGTACCGATTTTTATGATACAGACTACTTAAATTACCTAATACAAATAGGAAAAAGGGTAAAACAGAAAAATAATTTGGCTTAAAATAAAATAACATTAGATATCATGTAATTTTAAAATTCTGAGTAAAATGAATAATCGCATGTCACATATTCATTGTTCCATAAATAACGTTTAATGACATGAATTAGTATAAGTTTATAGCAAGTTGTAGAGAAATCAAATACAAATAACAAAACACATAGTTTTCTAACTTGGTTTTCCTCTCAATTCGCTTTGTTATTAGCCTTTTTATCTGAAATCAATTATAATATTATTTTTGATCCAAACAACGTCTTCAACTTTTCACATTTCGATTTGTAACTTAGGTTTTTAGGTAAATAAAAAAGGATTAAAATTAATTTTAAGAAATGTGTTTGTATATTTACCGGGCTTTACAACTATTGTTTTATAAGTTTTTAAACATGGTTACATAAAGGCAGGGAAAATATCGATTAAAATAGTTTGAAAGTTAAAATTACATGCGACTGATGCACAATGATACAAACCTAAACCTTTGACTTTTAAATGTCAGGATCTGGTTCCTTCTATAAAAAAATGAGCAATTCTTACAAATTTATTGTAAACAAATAAGCTTACTTGCTTGCTGTTTGTTTGGAGTGTTAATTTTTCTGTTAGTATGTGTTCATAGAGACGTAAGGTTCAGCATGATTTGCACATTTGTTGTCAAATTATCATCTTCACCTCGCTTCACGCGAAAAGTGGCGCGGTTTTATAACTGTTTCTCCAAAGAGTTTCTCTGTAATTAAATACCTAACCCGTGAACTCTATGGTTCTTGTTCACTTGACAATGACATTGTCAATCAAATCAAAACTTCATTTTTCTGTCAATGTCAAAAATCATGTTTACAATTTACATCTGATACTTGGCGTGATCTAAGTTTGGTTTAACGCTATTGACGCGAATTTACCGAAAAGCTGTAAATACATAGACAGACAATTGCCATGCAATGTTTCCAACTAATCATAAAACAATATTTGTCTTAGATCACACTCCTTATTTCGGAATTTCTTCGGATTTTCCGATAGAATTTGATGTTTCCAAAAGTCGAGGTCCAGGCTATGTTCCTTTACCGCCGGTTTGCAAATCTTTATGGACGTGCAGCGTAGAAGCGGCTGTCGAATATTGCAGGATTGTATGGGATTTATTTCCAGAAGGAAAATTGGTAAAACCCTTCTTTATTATTTTGTTATAAACATTTACTCTTATTTAAATATTTAAAGATGGGCTAAAGATTTTGTTTAATTTTATACCTTATTAACTTAATTCCATATTAAATTCTAATCAAAATTGCTTCAGTATTTTGTTATTAAACTGCCATTACCAAATTAGGAGAACTATTGTATTATATTAAGTTCTGTAAATAGTTTTTTTTTCGTTGCAGATCCGATTTGTTGTTAGTGATTCAGCAGCACATTTACTCAACACTTGGACAGAAGCACAACAAAATTTAACACATGTAATTATTCCATTGCTTATTTTTTTATATATTCCTTTGTCAATCATAATCATAGATATTCCACTGCACATTTTTTACAATATAGTGTAATAAACATATAACTTTTACTCCTTAGGAAAAGTAAATAACTAAAATGTAAGTTATATTGTTCTTAAATCTATTGTAAGACATTGTAATTAATTCAACTTGATATTGATAAACTTACAGATTCTAAATGGACTATGTCTTGTTGGTCCTGTGCGGCGTGGAGCGGGCGGCGATGTTGTGGGATTGTGTGCAGCCATTGAGGCACTGGGGGAACCGTCACCCAATCAGTCTTCAAGACCCACTACTGAGAGACTTTTCCAAAATCGGTATGTTACAATACCTGACCCAAATGTACAGCAAAAGCTCCCATTTCTCAAAAGCCAACAAAGCACCTGTTGAACCTCTGGTGATGCAGATGTCTGTAGTTGGCAATGATCATTTTGTTTTCTTACTTGGCTGCTACTTTTTATGTTAATAACCAAAGGGGGCAAATTAGTCCACTTGTGTGATTAAAAAGAAGGTACTATTCCCATTTTATTTCATGTAGAGGACTAAATTAAAACGGAAAATATTACATATTTGCTATTCTGTCTTTATCAAAAAATTAATTAAAAAAAACTATTTTTTACAGAGGCCGCATTATCTGCATTACAAGTGCAAGGGATGATGACTCAATCAGGAGCTTGGCAGAGATAGCACTTAATGCCTTAGTTCAACAGAACAAAAAGTTGTCTATGGTCCCACCCACTACTAGTGCTGATGCAACTGCTAATACACAGTATGTACATTTTGTTAAATGTATGTTTTTAAATTATTTTCTATTTAACAATATTCATCTTGCTTTATTTCATGTTCACTATTTCGCTATTATTTAATTTCAATTATATTTAAAGTCATAAGTTAAAGAAAATAATTTAAAAAAAGGGCTTTAAATTTCCAGATCCTTGGTTGTTCACTATTGCCATTTGGTCATAGTAAATGTTACGCCAGAAAAGATTGAAACAAGAGTTAACAATCAACCACTTACAGAGGTGCGTATAAAAATTGTGTATTATCTTTATATAGCTAAGCCCTTTTTTTTGTGAGTTTTATATATCCTTTTTATACATAAAATTTTGTTATGTACTAATTTGTATGTGTATGTAAGACAATATTATGTTCCTATCAGATGGGCGGTGGCCTAATGGGTGTGGAGGTTATAGTCTCGCGAGCAAGCGCACTCGCCAACCTACTCGGCCGTTTAGTGTTGCCACACTATAAGCTGGCAACAACCACTGTTACTGGCATACCTATGAAGGTAATCTATGGTATAATATAGTTAAAATTTACCTAATATTTTTCTTACACTCCAATCTCTGTAATTACAGATTATAATATTTTTTTGTATTCCTTAAATAGCTTAATGTCAAATAATCACTATGGAGTAGCAGAATATTTTATTAAAAACGAAGTAAATTCGATTTTTTTAACCAAAAACGTTTTGTTTTAAGGAAGAACAAAACGCAAGTTCAAGCGCCAACTATGATGTGGAGATAATTCACTCCTTAGAGGCGCACGCCGGCTTGCGGGCGGCGCAGACTGCGGCAGAGGCGCTCGAATCTGTAAGAATGTTTACAATTTTTGTAATTAATCGTGGGTTTCTGAGATTAAAATCCCTGATAAGAAACATATTGTCATCTCCATGATTATCTTCGATTAAACAGAGATGACAATATGTTTTAAACGGAGATTTTTGTCTCGAAAACCGACGGTAAATAGTTTTATAGTGGTATGCGATAGTATGGTATGTGGTAGGTGGTGTTGCGGTGGTGGACGCCGCGCGGTGCGGAGGGCGGGGCGAGCGGGTGCAGCGGGCCACTGTGGCGTGTCACGCCCGCTGATGTCGCGTCACGCCCCTCCGCCTGTCTCGTCAATTTCCTGCTCAACGGACGCTCTGTCACGCTGGAAGTGCCGCGGTGAGAACTAAGTTAGCCCTTACTTTAAGTTAAGTAGTGATAGTGCATATTGAACAGATACTATTGTATTAAATTACCTAATTCTCTGACTAATATTAATTCAAATCCTCACCACTGCCAATCACTACAGTAAGCATCAAAATAGCGGAAATCAAAAGGGCACAAAATATGACCTTTTATAACCTATCCATTTATGTCAGTGATAAAATTAGTTTGAATATGCAGCAAGGGCGGCGGGCGGTCCGCGTCACACGTGCTTGCGGCGCAGGGCGGCGAGCTATGGATAGGCGCCCTGGGAGGTCGCACGCCCTACGATGATCCGCCTGCACTCTCGGAGGGCGCTGGAGGACGCATCACTGACTATAGGTACAAATAATTCAAGACCTTAGATAGATGACCATAGGTCCGTCCGAGCCCCGCCCCGCCTGTGGCACAAGAGCATGGACGCCGAGGGTAAGTTAGTAAATACAAAAAATGGTTCGACGGCTAATAGTCATTTTAAGAACATTTGAATGTTGAATAACTCGTTTTTAAACTCAATTCACATCGTGTTTTATTTGATATTTGCAGGATAAAAGAGTTCGGTAGCGTGATGCAGCAGAACAAGTTGTTGCCGCTGCGTGGTGCGGGCGCTAACGGCCGCGCGCGCGCCCGCCTGCAGCGACACACCACCTACTGGCCACTTACAATCTCTTCTACGATTATATTTAACTTAGGCCCTGTAAGTAATTTTAGTTATTTTCCCTTTCAACACTTTTCTTATAAGGAATGAGTAGTAAGGGGAAATAGTGTCTGTGTGCCTCTCTTCTCCGTCGATTAAAAGTGGGCATCGCATCGCTATTTCGAAGAATTCCGATGGACTCATGTGTCGTTTGCCTACATTATATAACAAAAAAAACATAGTCCTGAAAATACTAAATTATACCACAGCTATGCTCTAAAATGTATTATTTTGTATGGTATGCTAGGTGGTGGAGCCGCTAAGCCGGCTGGTGGTGCAGGAGACGCTGTCGGAGGCGGAGGTGGAGGCGTGCCGCGGCGTGCTGCTGTCTCTGCTAGGCATGGAGTCACGTCACGAGTCTCCCGCCGCGCCCCTGCCCTCCAACGTGCGGTATGGAACATTTAAACAATATTTATTTTGCTTGTCATATAAAACATTGGAAGATACCCTACATATAAACTTTTATTAGTAAAGTTTTCTATTGATTGTTATCGCAGCCATCGAGTTCAGACAGAATTTAATATAGAAATTAGTATGATGTGTAAGATGGATCAACCTGTATATAAGGTAAACAAACGGTAACATTTTCAGTGCTAACTTTCACACAAGGGTAGAACGCTCAACTCAACACAATACAGTACTATGTTATATCTATTTAATTATTTTGTGATGTTTTTTTTAAATTATGGCTCCTGTTCTGTCCTCGTGTGCAAGAATTAGTATCAATAGTAGTATTGTATTTTAGTGTGAAGTGGTGCGGTCGTCGCGAGGATCAATGGCGGCAGGTGTGGGGTGAGCTGGAGGCGCTGGTGCGTGCTCATGCAGCCTCACCCGCGCACCGCGCTCTGCTGCGCACGCTGCTCGAGTGCCGCGGACATAACCACAGTTCAGACGGTACGTCCGCTGGTTTCTGAGACTAAAACCTCTGTTTAATACATCGTCATTCCTGTCTTTGTCTATGACAAAACAGAGACAACAATATAAATTCACAGTTAGAGACCGATATTCGCATACATGTACTGAAAATAATTTGCAATATCGTCCACGATTTAAATTTTTAAAAACATTACTTTTCTGCATAAGCACTCGAAGAAACAGTCAAATACATGGTGTTCGCGAAATACGTTTTTTTTATATCACATACAGACACTCTTATTTTATTAATTGTTAAAATAAATATTATGATCACCAACTGTAGAAAAAAAGATGAATATTATTCAATGTTCAGGTGAGTCGAGAGCGTCAGTGATCCGTGCGACGACGGACTCCCCGCTGTCGCCTGTGGGCGCGGGCGGGGGAGCGGCGGGGAGCAGCGCGGGGGCGGGCGACGTGTGGGCGCCGCGTAACGCGCTCGAGGCGCTGCTGGGCGCCCCTCGTCCTCCGCGGCGCCCAGACTTCGCGGGCCGCATGGCAGCAGGCAACAGGATCGCTACGTTGTACTCACATTTGCAAGATGTAGAAGCACAACATTAGTATTTTATATGTAATTTTAAGGAAATATAATTATGTTGTCTAAAAGTTTTTTGTGTATTATTTTAATCACCTTCCAAGTTAAATTTACCTTAGACCTGCATTAAAGAAAATGAGATAAACTAAAAATGAATTGGGTGTAATTAAAAATGCGACATTATAAAATTAATATCTTATATTTGTTCATTAAAAACTACATTGTGGGCCCGTGTGCCCGGCGCCCGGGTAACACGACCTTTGTATTATCTTGTTGCATATAAACTCTGCGGGCAGACTGTGTCATAAGGCAATGTGAGTGAATCTCCAAGGCATCTGGTCCGGATACGAGGCGGCGAGGCACGTCCCCTCCCCTTCCCGCGACTCCCCTGACCGCCCCGCCGACCACGTCAGTTAACAATTACTGGAATGTCACTCGGGATGCGAACGTCCTAAGTACGGAACATATACATAGAGGAGATTAGAGTCACAAAACAACAGACCCGTTTTCAGCGACATTGTAAATATGTTCCACGAAAATATTATTATCACAAATTTAAATTTTTTATGACATTATGAATATTTAAATTGTTTGTCAAGTTATACTTTCTTGTTCTACCGAAAACAGGCCTGTTAATAAACACTGTAAAGGTCTGGACATCACAAGTGTACAAGATTTGTCAAGTTGTCGTCGTTTATTCTATACAATAACAGAAAATGGTTTAAAAAATAAACATTTTTCAGATATCACATTGATTGTGATGTTATGTATCAGTCTATTGTTATAATACATTGTGATGTTCATAAAAATTTGCATCTAACCGTAAGATTCCACTGACTATTAAACATTGAATTATCTCCTCTTTGTATATGTTTCGTGAATCAAACAAATCTACAAACGAAACCTAACACTAGATTCGGGTTTTTAATCAGCCGCTGTGACTTGACAGTTTATATTCTATCAGGTAGTTAGTGATGTTAAAATTCGAATTCTTTATAATTAATTAGCCTACGTTTAAAAATAAAATGGTGGTTTGAATTCATTTCAATTAAAATTAATCAAATTATATTGAAGTCATTATCGATAAAAGATTTTTGTAATAGTATACATTTCAAAATATTGCATTTTTCATATTACTTATAGATAAAGTATGAAATTTTTGGCTCGTTCAAGTCTTGAAAAAAAATCATGAGTATATTTCAGACATCAATATAGTTTGATTAATTCCGTTATAATTCATTGCTTTCAATTACATCATTAAAAAAATTATATACGACGTATAAAAATTGAATTTGAATCTGTCACTGAACATCAGCTAATTAAAATTCATCCCGTCGGCCCATCGACCACTGTACACATTTTGTACACACCAAAAATATTCGCCGAGTCAGTCCAAACACATACGAAATACCCTATAAAACTTACAAAAACCGGTACTCTTACAACTTAACACTATTTTTTTTTATAATTAAACGGAATTGAAAAATAAATTACCTAGGTACAATAAGTTTTAGTCTAGAAAGCTATTTATATTCGCACGTGTGTGGTGCGGGGCGTGCGGGGCGGGGGCGCGCGGGGTACGCGTGTCAGTGCGTAGCCTCCCGCAACTTCTTGGCCATCGGCGGCGCCTCCGGAGCCGGCGCCTCACCCAAGGAGTTCTCCTCCGCTGAACTCGCTTCTTCTATTTGCCTACAACGAAATATTCACAGTTAAATGCCATCAAAATACCCTCCAGCTTACTAATATCAATAAATATACGAAAAGTCCGATGTTAAAATATTGACTAATCGATAACGTAGCGTCTGTTCGAAACACAAACTCTTAACTGCTCAACTGAATAAAAAGTTTTTAAAGGTAAGTTTAAATTTGTTCCAAAGAAGTTATCCAAGAGTATGGTTATTAGAATTAATTTTCCTTTTTTTATATATAAGTTGTTTGCAATAAATGCATGTTACCGTTTGGCACGCGGCGTGCTGACGGCGGAGTCGGAGTTGTCGGAGGGCGAGGCGGGTGTGGCGGGGGTAGCGGGGGTGCCGGGCGAGGCGGCCTTGGCGTCCATGGAGTCCTCCGTGCACGACGTCGTTGTGTCCTCGTTCACTGACTCAACAAGTTTACCTAAAACAAAACATACATATTATTGCCACAAATTACAAACAAGGATTCACCATAATAAAATTATTTTTATAATTTAGTGGTAGCTTGTAATTTTAAGTTTCAACGACATCACGACATTGTGAGGTATTAAAGTTAGTACCATCAACTCAGATGAAATCAACTTCCTAACGGTATGAATAAATGTAAGGACACGGAATTTGCTAAATACATCCAAATATTTTAATATACTTTAGCACCAAACTATAAGAACTATAGAAGAAACTTTCATAAATCATTTTAAAGGTACGTTAACAGGTAAAGGTCCAAGTCTTAGACCATAAACCGTAAAAAAAACAAATTTGTGTCGACTAAAATACAAGACAATTTGTATTCCGCAGTTAATGCGCGGGCGCAGGTAATGAGAGGTTCGGCCATTGTTAGCGAGGCCGCTTTGTCTTTGCCCGGCTACGCATTGTTATTCAAACTCTGACAAAATTCACTACTGAGAAGTAACCGTACTTTTTTGCGGACAGCTTACTTTTAGGCAATTGTAATGTTTATAATAGATTCTTAGTTGTGAGTTAGTCATTACTTCTTAGTTCTGATATTTCTATAGTTTTGAGTTTAGCTAGAAATTTTTAACAAGTTTAATAATAATAGTATTTCAAAAAAATAGCAAATTGCTTTACAAATAAATTATTAAAACTAACTATGTTAGGCATAAAATGAGATGGATAAAAACATACTCTTGTTACCAGTGATTTAGCAGTAAATAATAACATATACAGTAGTGATAGTATATGTATATATATATATACACTATACATGTGTGTGTATGTATATATGTATGTATGTATGTGTTACCATTGCCGTTGGTGGCTGGAGGCTCAAGGTTGCTCTCATCGCTGGGCAGAGGCGAGCCGCCGTTTGCAGGCGCGGGCAGTGCAGGCTCCTTGCCCAATAGCTGCGGCTGCAGATCCGACACTATATTGTGCGTCCATAGCGCCAGCTCCACCATGTGTGGTGACCATTTCTTGCCGCAACCGTTTTGTTCCTTGAAAAATATATAATATTCAGTTAACATGATCAATGTTTGGTGAGTTGGTGGCATTGGACGCTTACTAGTGACTTTTAAGCATTTTTATATAAATTATAATATGATTTTTTAGTCACTCTAACAACTTTTAAATTTGGGCTTCGTTCAATGAGCTAAATTACTGCTGTTTGACTCAACAAAATTGCTTTTGCTATTCCAAAACTATTGCAAGAGACCTGTAAACTGTATGATTCGGATGGCTGCAAATATAGTAAGAAATTCGTACCAGTGACATAGATATTGCATGCCACTGTGACTCAGAGTCTCAGTAGGAAGTTGACACACACAAACTAATTTGTTAAACAATGTTAGTCACACTTGTGTACTAAGCATAATAAATACTTTAAATAGGTGTTACAAAATAAAGGTCTTTTATTTTTTTTAAGTTATTTAATATACAGATTTAATATGGGATCGAATCTATGACACACAATCAAGAGACTGCAAAGATAGACACTTTTTGTATTGTCCTCAATTAATATGTACTACGGAACTTGTGGTTAGATACCAATACCAGGTCAATAGGTCATATCTACACGCGCGACATAGTATACAAATAAAAATTATTGATATAGATAAAAATAATTACTACTGAAGTCCATATAAAAACTCCTTACCTTATTTAATCTATCACAGACGTTTCTAATATGTTTAACAAAGTTGAGGTATTCCTTGGCAGTGTAATCGCTCCCTTCCATCTCAGGTATTGCCTGTATGCATTCATCCGCCATGAAGGGAGCTATTTCAGGGCTGGCTGCTGCTAGTAGAGCTGACGCAGTGGCAGTACCTACACCCTTCAGGTTGCTGAGAGCTGTCATCGCGGATTCAATGTTGGGCAACTTCTTAAATGCTTTCTTTGTTTCCTGCATTACTGCTCTCGGTGTGTTCACTTTGATTAGGTACGACAGTTGTGGATAAAACCTTCCCCTCTGCGAAAAAATTTAGTTTGAATAATTACAATCATAACTTTAATAGTCATGTGTTTGTTTAAAAGAAAAAAAATTAAAAAACTAGTAAGTAGTACTGCTAAATAATAATCTCTTTGTCTTTTTCCCTACAGAGATTCAACAAAATATGTATGAATGATAGTGTACCAGTACTCTTGTATAAAATAAAAGTAAAAAATGTTTTTTGTTACATTAAATTTAACAGATCCTTGGGCCTTTGTCTTCTCAAAATCTGAGTCTTATATCTCACTCCTATCTTCCAGATATCCTCTCTTGCAAGTAGTTGGTAATTAATTGCTTTGACAGATTATTTTATTAACATGTGTGTTTCTGTAGATGTATTGTTATAGCACAAAGTATGTGAGACAAAGACATTATGTTTTGAATATAAAAATTATTATACTCACGGCTTGTTTCCATTTCATAAGTTGTACCAATTCTTCATGTATCATGTGAGCATCTTTCCCTCTAGATTTGATTTTCTTTGGCAATTCATTTTGATACCTGAAAAGATATATATTTATATTATAAAAAATACAATAAATAATTATTCTATATATTGGTTATTTAAGCATATTTGAATTCTGATTCTTAGAAAAGTCAAATAATGCCTTACAATAATGCATCCAGATTTAAGAATAATTGTAAAATTTTATTTTATTTATTTATTAAACAACTTTTTCATTAAATATGAGATTGCCCATAGAAGTAGAAACATTAATTGACAATTTAATTTTTGGAATAATAGCTGCTTGAATTTGTAAAGGGAAAGAAATATGTTACAAAAATAGTTTCCCATAATATTTATCCTTTCATAAATTCAAAGAAGACTATACAAATATACCATGCTATGATATTTATTTTTATTGTTATGCATAAATAGGAAAATGTCAGCTATTTGATGACCTATTGTGTTAGAAATGTAAATAGAATTTACATAAACAATTTATTATGCCTTACTCATTTTTTTTATTTAATTAAGCTTTAAATTTATTTATGGAAAAGTTCTTTAATATTTATTTTGTATAATATCACATATTTTGCATTCAAATTTATAATTATAAACCAACATATAAGATATTAGGAGGAAAATGAAATGTATTGTAATTAAAAAAAATACACTAAAAGAAAATATTCTTAATAATAGCTTCTGTTTGGCTTAAAAATGCTAATTAATTTGTTTTAATATGTTTTGTAGATGTTTATTAAAACATTATACAATTAAAATGATTATCTTGTTTACTACAAGTATTTGTACATGCAGCAGCTGCAGGAAATATTCTGTGATAAATATTGTGAATTTATTATTTAAATCCGATCTGTTTAATACAACTCTTTAATATTTATAGAGAGTGAGAGAGACAGACTCAGAGAAAGAAAGATTATGTAAATGTTTTCAGTTTAGACTCACCATTACACATTTAAAATTAATGTCTACAGTAATAGTAAAATAAAGAGTTTATTAGTTATTTTATATATTATTAGGTATTTTATTTTATTTAACCTTAAATTTTATTTTATATTTTTTATAGTGAGTCATCTTTGAAATAACTTATTTATAATAAAATACTAAATTAAATTATAATATTAATAATAATTTCTTTTGTTAATTCACATATATTATCAATAAATTGAAAAGGAATAATGAAATTATTTACTCATTGAATTACAGGCAGTATGACTGGTTTAATTTTAGCTGTTCTGATTTAACAAAGTATTTATTTATTAAATATATAAAAATAAAATATGGAAATTAGTTTAAAGTATCAAATAATGTAGAAATAATAATATAAAGTTATTCAATTGTTTCCAAAAAAATTAAATTCAGTTAAGTTTTACAAAAGTTAGAATGAAAATTTTATAAAAGTTCAAACTTGATGACTCATTACTTGTATTTTTTAAATATGTATTTAGAGGCCTAAATCATTAATTAGTTGTAAATAATATCAACACTCAATTATTTGCCATTAAAACAGTTAAATGACTACAAAATACTTTATAAATGGCAAGTCACCATTTTGAACGGATGTGAGAACAGCATTAAACAAAGCGATGTGTATTTTACTAGCTACAAGCAGTTTCAAATACAATAACATATTATTATGTGTGTTATCTAGTCTCGTCTAACCAAAGTATCTACGGAATAAGCGAAGAAATATTCGTATTCATCCCAAACTAAAAGCATATACGAGCGATGATACGTAAAGGACAGCCACCATTTTATAACGCCTAAGCGCGGTGATATTTTCCCCCACACTGGCTTCAGGAAAAACGATAGTGTCAATTTGACATCGATCCCACGTGACGCAGTGATTTTAATGAGCCGTCCGCGGACTAGAGATGCAGTCCGCGAGGGAGGTAGCTATCAAATCAGTTTGCACGGATACACACACAATACAAGTTCATTGACACGCCACGGCCGCATTTTCTCCACCGAAAGACGTTTGCACTTACCAATTGTCCAATTTTATGAGCTCCTCTGGTTTCTTTGTTTTCTGTTCAGCTTTAAGTTTGATCGCTTGTGGGTATAACTTTAAAACACTGTCAAATTGTTTTGAATCTGCCTCCAGAAAGAAAGTAGACGTGTCTTTCGCGGTAGCCATTGTGAACGTTCTAAATGTACAACACTCTGCGTACCTATTTAGTTAGCTATAGCGCCGAACTCGACGCGGCGGCAGCACCTGGCCAACTGGGCGCCCTCTCCCCACTCGCCGCCATCTTGTCGACTGTATACTTCGCAATGACGTTCAATATTATTATTCGAAATCGTGTTTTAAAACATATTTTACCACGAAAAACACTTATTTAGGGAATATTATAACTGATCGTTTAGATACTAACATTATTTATGCACTATTTGGCCATAGAAACATGGTTAACTCGTCATAAAAAAGTATAAAAAACTTACTTGCGATAACAAGGTTATGTAGGACGCGCGCCGTGTCGTGGCGTCGGACATCGGTCGGGCATCCAAGGGGAATATTGAACACGGGAAATGTAACTTTCATCATGTGTAACTCACTATAACTTGGAAATAATAACTATATAAATGAAATTTATCAGAAATTACAATATATAGTACACGATAATGCTAGTCACGTCGACCTCGGCGCACTATCAATTTCCTTAAACGTGACGCAACACACGACACCGTTCTACCGAAACGACTTTGGTAAACACGCATATTTTCCGTTGCATTGCAGTACACACTGAGCTCGGAGTAGTCATGAAGTAGTAACTAGCGGTGTACATAAGGCATTTAGGTAGTACGACGTACATATCACCGGGGTGGAACGTCACCACACCAATCGGCTTTGTTGTTTTGATAGACCGCCATGTGCTCTACTCCCTCTTTATAAATTTTCTTAATATTAAACGTTTGGCGAATTAATGAAACAGCTGGCGCACTTCGTGACCTTTGTTTCACGTTTACATTTCTTGTTACAATGCATAAGTCTTATTCAAATGATGAAATCATTTTCCTATGTTGTTATGTTGCATTTTATTATTTCTTTTCAGATTTTACGGTTACATTTTTTGAAGAATTCGACGTTAAAATATCGTTTTAACCATCCATTGGCGCATCTATATATTTTGAAAAAATCAAATTCTTAGCACCTATAATTTAAAAACGTGTAAAAGTTAAAACTAAAGCTCAAGACAAAGGTCTTCCACCATCTTCCATCATCCAAAACATTGCAATAGAAATTTGAAGTAAAAAAAAACTCAAAACATTGTTTTCAACCAGATATCGAACCCGCATTTTCAAAGTAATTTCACCACTGAACTATGCTATAATAAAATAAATAGAACAAATATCATATTTCGAAAATTAAAGTTTGAAGACTATTCCAAAATACTATTAAAAGACTACTATTAGATTATTTTTCTATTTAAGACTTAATAGAAAATACCTTCTATTTTATTTACACTTGTTACCATTGACAATGTAGACTGTGAAAGTATGGTTGAACAACAGCGTATTTCTCAGACTCAGAGCTATAGGTGTCCAGGACTCAGGACCGGGTAAAATTGTCATCACTATCGCAGAATTACATATGGCACGATCCTGAAAAACCTCTCGCCTTTTACACTGTCTATCCTTGAATTCGACGGTTATAAGTACTGTTTAAACCGGTTTTCTTTATTACATCACGTATTTGTTCCGAAACTATAGCATATTTCCTTAATAAAGAATTTAACTTAATAAAAAAGTAACATCCTTTATCTATCCCACTAGCTGTCACCCGCGACTCAGTCCGCGCAGAATAAAAAAAATAATAAGTAGCCTACGTGTTCTTCCAGACTACATTCTACCTCTATACCAAATTTCAACGAGATCCATGCAGCCGATCTGAAGATACCTTCAAACCAACATCTATCTATCCATCCATCCAAACATTTATAATATTGTAAGATAACGCATTAAGTGCTTCACAATATATTTTTTACAGACATGTTTGCTATGCTATGTTTTTCAGCATCCAATACGGCATTGGAGCTAGTTTCAAGTATTATGTCTACTCAATCGAACTTGTTTTAACACAACGCATGATTAAATGTGAATTTATTTACTATCTTGTTGTTAACTTCAGTTTGTTTACTTGTTATTTTTGGTCGATTTCCCCTGTTTCAATTCGATGTTTTCGAGTATTATTTTCATGGATATTTATGTATCTCTTCCACTACAATGTCCTGTAAGCTGAACAGTTGAAACATAAGGAACATTGGAAGGGGGCAAGGGCAACTGCCCTCCGTACTGCCGACCGTGAGAATCGTAAAAATATAAAATACATAAATATATATAGTGTACTTGTAAAAACTAAGATACTTAAACTCCCTATAGGTCGACGTAGAAACTCAAAAACTACTTGTCAGTTTCTCCTATATCCTAGCCAATAACCACCACTCTCTTTGGTTGAACCGTTTCTCAAATGGTGTCATCAGATTAATATTTTGTATTGTTTGTCTTAATTTTATTGGTATATTAAATTAAATATATCTTAATCTCTCGCTTCTACGAGAGGTATCAGGACCGCGCCAACTGAATATCTGTAGTCTCTGCATACCCCACTGGGAAACATACGTGAGTTATGTTGTTGAAAAAAAAAATCCATTGCTTGAACATTTTCAGTTTTATCAAGTTTTCTAATGTTATAAGAATAATTTAAAATTAATATCTGTAACGTTAAGTACAACGCGACTACAATAACTTAAGACTTTTATGGTATGCGATGTAACCATAGAGCATAACAAATCGTTCTGCATACTGAATTTATTGTATAAATAGCGACAATGCTATAATTATGTTCGGTTTGCTTATCAACATGTAACTTTTTTGTGCACTGTACACACCGTTGTGATGTTATCGAAGTCTCATTGTAGAATAGCATAGATAAAGTAAACGTCTGTAGCGGTTGATAATAGTTATCGTGAGTTCTTTAAATGTTATCATAATATGTATTGAACATCTTTGAAAAATTTCTCTCCTGTTAAAATGTATGTTAAAACATCTTAATAATATTATAATATAAATGCGAATGCTTAGATAGATGGATGTTTCTTTAAAGGTATCTCCAGAACGGCTACACGGATGGAATTTGGCATACATGGTCTGGAACACATAGGGTACTATTTTTTTTTTAATTCCTCGGCACGGAGTCGCGGGCAACAGCTAGTTCTATATAAACAATAACTCAATACTTATTTCAGAATTTTACTGTCAAAATTTTAAAACTAAAACATAACTTCATTCTTCATAATGGCAGAACTAAAGTAATGACAGAATTTAATAAAATAAATTGAAAAAATGTGACTAAACATGTAAATTTTCAATAGACTCAAAATGCAACATCAGCAAAATTTAATATTACTACAAACATAATTACCAGCATATACAATCAACATAAGAACAAGACAATACAGCAGCCATCCATGCCTAATCAACTCTAAGGGTAAGTTATATTCCCTTACTAGCAGTTGCCCGAGACTCCGTCCGCGCGGAATAGTAAAAAAACATAATAATTAACATATGTGTTCTTCTAGACTATGTTCTATACGTTTGCCAAATTTCATCGAGATCCGTTAAGCCGTTCTGGAGATACCTACAAACAAACATCCATCTAAACATTCACATTTATAACATTAGTACGATATATAAAATTCTCGTGTCTCAATGTTAGTTACCATATTCCTCGGGAACGGCTTGAAAGATTTTTAAGAAGTTTTTTTTTAATAGATCTGAGAATTGGCTACTATCTATTTTTTAATCTCGCGTTGACGGAGTCGCGAGCGACAGCTAGTTTTATATTAAAAATGTCTGTATGTTTGTCTACTTTTAGTTCTCAAACCATTGATCTTTTTCTAATGAAGATAAATTTTATTACGGTGTCCTAGGGATGCATGCAAGGGTTTTTATTTAAAAAAATCTGTGCATAGACACGTTTTTTTTTTAAATGCCTGCTTACTACTAAACCTCAACACGGTTTTCTGTGTGGTTCAATACAAAAAGCAGTGAAGAAACTACACTACAATATACGTAACATTGTCATAAAGATAAGAAAATATACCTTGCAATTAAAACTAAAGCACAGGCTTATTTTGATAAGCCTATACTATTTACTGCGTACATTTTCCGTTATAAAATTTTAAATATACAACCATGGCACAATCTAACTATACAGAAGTATCTAAGACAGACGTCTAACACTTATTAATAACTACTTGCACCCGCGACTCCGTCCGCGCGGAATTAAAAAGAACTTAGTAGCCTATGTGTTCAGACTATGTTCTACATCTATGCTAAATTTCATCATGATCTATTCAACCGTTGTGGTGATACCTTTTAACAAACAAACATCTATCCATCATCATCATCATCAACCTGCCCTTATCCCTATCAAGGGTCGGCACAGCATGTACTACTCCTCCATACATCTCTATCAGCCGTCATATCCGAGTCTACCCCCTTCTTACGCATATCCTCTTTCACACAGTCATTCCATACTTTTTTTGGTCTTCCTCTACCCTTGTAGCCATCCACATTCAATCTCATTACTTTTTTGCTTATATCATCATCATCCCTCCTCATAACATGTCCAAACCACGCTAATCTTTTACTCCTCAATTTCTCGATCACTGGCGCTACTTTCAAACTTCCTCTAATATACACATTATATACAAACATCTATCCATCTATCTATCTAAACATTCGCATTTATAATATTAGAAAGAAGTAAGATATTAGTAAGATAAAATTTTAATAAACGATCACACTACAATAAACATTACTTATTTTTATACTACGACAAGCTCGTTTTTAAAGCTACGAACACTTTTTAGTGTAAATGCAATATTAAGTTATAAATACATTTATTAAGTTATAAATAAAAGTATCTTGTTTCTTCTAAACAATAGATTTTATGCGCACTATATTTAACAAGAAATTATTCTAAAAGTCGTTAAAATATTCGTTAAAGCAGACAAATGACAAAGCTGCCAAACCACCCTTGGTGAAGAGAGAATTAGAACCCAAATGTAGCATAATTTTGTTAGGGGCCCGAACCCGCATTAAAAGGCACAAAAGAAAAAAGGTAATGCTTTGAAGTATGGGACCGAGCGCGTCACAAAAACTAGGAAGGGTATGGGAATCGTACAGAGCCATGTGTACGATTTAAAATGTTTATTTTTTTAAAGTTATATTTTTTTGTTGATAATAAGACATCAAATAAGTAACAATATTTTAATTAGAGATTAAAAATCAAATTTCTTAAGTATTTAATTTAATTTATTACAAAACCTGTACAGAACTCAGATTGATGCACATTGGAATCGAACTTCTATCATTTTGACGTACGAAACACTTATGGATGTAACGAAATATTTAAAAAAAACTTTTTTTTTTAAAACAACTCATATTAGGTGCTTAGTTATGTTGAACAATAAACACACAATAAAATTACTATCAAAATGCAACTGCGTATATAAAATTAACATTCAAACTTAAATGTGCATCGGTTTGAGAAATATTATTTTATCGCTTCCCAAATTGTTTTTGCAAAGTTTAAATCACACAACTACACTCTTGCCATCCCGTGGCTTGACCGCAAAATGACCGTTAAAGACCATTTTTTGCTTAAAAGCGTTTACTAACTTATATAAAATTCGACCGCAAAAATTTGATACTTTTGTTTAGAAAAAACCTATTCTTCCATCAAAAACTTCATGTTTTTTTGTGATTAAGTGTATTATTTGCGATCTGATAGGTTTTAAAAATTGAAAACATATTACTTGTATCGTTTCGCAATACCTACGCGACATTTTAAGATGAACACGTGGTGCATAAAGTGCTATAATAGACGCTACACGACAAATAACACGGTAATAATTAATAATAATTTATTTTCTTCCATACTTATAAACTATAATAAAAGCTACGATTATTTTAAATGGTCAGTTAAGGAAATTTTTAGGTT